GGTGGGGGGGGGACGAGGGGCAAGCTAGGTGCGCTCGTGCCATATCTGACGTCCTACCCCTCCTTCCCATCCCCCACCATGGCGTAGATAAACTCTTTCCGCACAGTCGGATGTTGAGCAGGACAATGATCGCCAGAGTGTACGCGATGCATGGTAGAGCACGGTATGGCATGGCGTAGAAGAGCACGGCAGAGCGTAGCATGCCATAGCATGGCGTGCCATTGCACCACAAAACATTGCAACGCAAAGCATAGCATCGCACAGCGGCGCAGGACACAACACCGCACAGCATGTCATGGCATGGTGCCGGTTCCTTGGAGGGTAAGTGGATCGTTTTCGAGAGGTCTGGGCCAGTCTGAAGTCGTGCACCATGTCTAGCTCTTTAGGCTCTCCGAAAAGCTCCACACAAAGCGGGGCTGATGGAGACCACCCGCTGGCTCTGCTTCCAACATCGCCTGCTCAGAACAGAAACGGGGTTCCCGCTGGATACTTCCTGCAAGCGACGCCGCCCCAGGGGGGCTTCAGCAGCCCGAAAAATCAGCGAATCGACACCGACTGTGTAATCACTTCCGATGGTTTTTCAAGGGGGACTTTTCTAGATTTTGGGGTCTATTTGGAAGGACCGAAAACGCCCGCGCTGCAGCGGGTGCACGATGTGGAACAACCAGAGGCACAGAAATGGGGCTAGCACTTCAGCGGGAACAACATTTTGAAAACAAGCCCAAGCGAAAACCCATTTCCCTGGAATCCGGTGCGTAACAAATCAACACGCGGAGGGGGGGGGCAGATATCTTCCGGACGTCATCAGGGGAGAGAGGATAGTAGTATTCATATGGTGTTTTTGTAGAGGAGGGGGGGGAAGGGGGGAGGAGGGGGGGGAAGGGATGGAGAGGGGGGGGGGAAGAGGGGAGGGGGGGGAGGAGGGGAGGGGGGGGAGGAGGGGAAGGGAGGGGGGGGGAAAATAATAAGCAGCCACGTGCGCACGCGCTTGAGCAAACAGGGCAAATCGGCGCGTTCGGCTGTTTTGCCGCGCTGCTCCTCTCCACGTCTCTGCCGGAATGGCAGGAACATCTTACGAATGGATGTTTCTTCGTGCGCGTGCATAGTTCCACTGGCGATATTTTGAAAACAGCTCGGCGATGGGGGAGCTGGTCACGTTCGCGCGCAAGTCAGGCCAGCGCTGCAGCGGGAACACGATTCTGAATGGCCGAACCGCGGAAATGAAGGCGCTGCAGCGGGAACACCGTTTTGGAATAATCAGAAACGACAGGATTGAAAGAACATAGGAAACAACAACACAAGTAACATCTGGTGTGTAGAAAACAATACGCGGAGAGGAAGGGAGACTCTCCAGACAGAGTCAGGGGAGAGATGAGAGGAGTATTCATTATTCTGCACATGTAACGGGAGCAGGGAGGGAGGGGGGAGGCAGGGGAGGGGAGGGAAGGGGGGGGGAAGGAGGGGAGAGGGGGAAAGGAATGGAGGGGAGGGGAGGGGAGGGGAGGGGGAGAGGGGGGAATGGGAAGGAGGGGAGGGAAGGGGGGAGGAGGGGGGGGGGGAAAAGGGGAGAGGGGGGGGAGGGGAGGGGGGCAAGGAGGGGAGGGAAGGGGGAGGGGGGGGAGGGGGGGGGGGCGGGAAGGGGAGGGAGGGAAGGGGGGGGGAAGGAGGCGCAGGGGAGGGCGCGCCCCCCTCGGCCTCCCCAGGGCGCCCGCCGGGCGCGGGCCCCCCGGCGCCCCCGCGCGGGCGGAGGAGGCGCCGGCGGAGGACCCTCCGCCACGGGCGAGAGGAGGAGGAGGAGGAGGAGGAGGAGGAGGGAGGAGGAGGAGGAGGAGGAGGAGGAGGAGGAGGAGGAGGAGGAGGAGGGAGGAGGAGGAGGAGGAGGAGGAGGAGGAGGAGGAGGAGGAGGAGGAGAGGAGGAGGAGGAGGAGGAGGAGGAGGAGGAGGAGGAGGAGGAGGAGGAGGAGGAGGAGGACCCCCCCCTCCAACCTATGGTGGTGGTGGTGGTGGTGGTGGTGGTGGTGGTGGTGGTGGTGGTGGGAAACACGCCCATCAGGTTTGATAGCAACCGAACAGTGCACAGAAATGGTGCATGCTGGCGTGCGGACCCCTGCAGGACATGTTTTTGCAAGACGCAGAAAGAGCCCCCTCCGACAGGGCCAACATCCGGAGCAATCCGATATCACGAGCTCCTCCTCCTCTTCCTCCTCCTCCTCCGCCTCTCCTCCTCAGAGAGAGAGAGAGAGAGAGAGAGAGAGAGAGGGCGCGCCGCTGTGGCTGTCTTCAGGGCAGCCGGAGAGAGAATGGCAGGCCCGGCACCCGTCGGGCCGCGCGGGAGAAATCCCCAGAAGGCGCACCCATGCACCACCGCCGTGCCCTGCTATGGCCGCCCTGGGCCCTGGGTTGGTGCATGGACCCAGGGTCCAGGGTTGCACTGGACAGGAACGGTTCTGGCACACAGGTCAGGCGATCGCAAGCATGGATCAAGGGAGCATGGATTAGCGACGGGTCCCGCTTCCGTATGGAATCGTGGATTTCCGCCGTCGAACGAGGCGGCACCGGCCGCATTTTGCGGAGGGCACCTCCCCCCGATCTGTGTTTGCGAGCCCCCGACTCCGGTGCCCTCTGCGCAAACGCAGCTGGAAAAGCCTGACCTCGGGAGGTTCGCCAGCCGGAAACATGCCCCTCTCACGAAGCTTGGTGCCTCCTGATCTCGGTGCGTGTTTTGAGGATCCCCCCGGGTTTCTGGGCGCACATCCCTCGCACGTTACAGCCGGGCGTACTTGTCAAGTTCTGTTTCCAATGCAGCAGAGGTCCCACTTGCTTCTTCCAGTGTTCCTAGACCCTTCAAGGACCGCCTTTGGGGCTGGAGTGCGGGCCGCATCGCGTCGCAGATCCCCAGGACTGTCCTCGCCTTGGGCCTGCCAGTCCTCAGGCTCAGGGATGGAGCTCGCGGCCCGCTGGGAGGCGCGGGTCACCCTTCCGCTCCCTCAGATTGGGATGCAACTCCTGGGAGGTCAAATTCTGATTTTGCACTGGTCCGAAGTCCGGCTTACTCCGGCTCAGTCCCTTTTCATCCCGCTGAATCCCGCTTCATCCCGTTCAATCCAGCTTTATCCCGCTTCCTCCGAGGCCCACTCCGGCGCAATGGCGCCCAAATGGGGCGTAGTCCTCCTTAATCTTTCCGACGAAAACCTCCCAGTAGTTGTCTCCTCAGGGGGCCACGTGCGAACCCTACCCCTACCCCCCACGACTCCTGAGGGGGAGGGTGGGGTTCGCCTGTGGGCCCCTACCTCCCCCCCCCCGCAGCTCGAGGAGGGGCGGATCCCGCGGCCGCGCCGCCAGAAGCAGCCGCCGCCGACCCCCGACGCGCCGCGGAGGCCCCGACGCCCCTCTCCGCTGCCCTGCCCTGCCCGGCCCTCCCCCTGGCCTCTCGGCCTTGCTTTCAGTCGGGCGCGCCCCTCTCTCTCTACAGGGGGGATCATCAAAAATAGTCAAAAGATAGTCTGGGGACGATTTTTTTAACATATTTTCTAGCATTTGGGGGGTATTTGTTTGAGCATGTTTCATCTTTCGCCCAAAATCCCCCTGTAGGGGGACACGCCCGACTTGGGCCTTGCTCCTTCGCCTTGCTTATCGCGCGCGCGCGCGAGGCAGCCGCCCGGCCGCGGAGGCTGCCTCGGGCCCGTGCGCAGGGCACCCGCGCGCGTGCCGCCGGAGCGCGCCTCGCAGGGGCACCCGCGCCGCGCCCCGCGGCGTCGGCGCGCCTCTGGGCGCGCCCCTGGCCGCGGGCGCGGAGGCCGTTTGTCACCACGTACCAAACGACCCCAACCCAACCCGAAGGCCTCAATTTGCCCTCCGTTTCCATTGGGGGGGCTGGTCGGGGAACATAAAAAAAAAACGCGTATGGAACCCATACCCCCCCCAACCCGAAATTTGGGTCTTCGGGTTGGGTTGTGGTGGTCTGGTAGGTCGTCAGTTCGTGGCGGCCCGGCCCCATCAGGCCTGGGGAGGCCCGTGGAGCGCCGAGGCGCGCACGCCTCCGTCCCGTCAGCGGCACGCTCTAAGAGGCAGCCTCCGGGGCGGCGGGCTTGCCTGCGTGTCTTCGTGGAGGGACAGCTCCCGTCGCTGTCCTTTCCTCTGCGCGGCCTGCTCCTCCGTTGCCGTCTACCTCCCCTCGCTGGGCAGTCGTGGCTGCCGGGGGCTGGCCGCAGATGGCTCCCAGAAGCCCGGAGAGGATGGCGGAAGGCAAGATCTTGCAGGTTTTCGCGCACTCAAGATCAAGCGCCCGTCCCGAGATTCGCGCCGAGGCTGTGGCGAGAGGGGCCAGGCAGGTATATGTTCAGGTTCAGTCGCTTATAGGAGTTCTGGAGCGCTTTCGGACGCGGCGCCTGACACATTGCATGGGGTCAGTGAGTGTACGGCACCCCGTGCAGGGCGTGTGATGTAGGGGCCCAGGAGGGCCCAGCGTGCGCGAGGGCCGAGGAGGCCCGAGACCGTTGGAGAGGGGATTTCCCTCCGAAACTCCTCGGGGCTCGAGAAACATCGAGCCTGCATCATCATCTCTGCATGGTGGCAGGTTGTGGGATATCGTACCTTCTCTAAGAGGCTAGCGCCGCCAGCGCGGCATGGCGGTTGATGGCGTGGCTGCAGGGGTACAGCTGTTCGGGAAGGTGGAGTTGGGAAGGTGCAGGCCTTCTCTGGCAAGCGGGAAAACTTCGAGGACTGGATCTTCCCGTTAGAGAGCTACTGCGGCTTGCTGGGTTGGGCCGCGGGCTTGGACATGGCCAGGGACGGGGCGGAAGCGAGCAGGGTGTGCAGGTCGGCAGGAGTTTGTACCGCCGGCTGGCGAGCACCACGAAGGGCGCGGCGCAGAGCATCGTGATGGTGTGTTCGCGGGGTGATGGCTTCGAGGCGATGAGGAATACACGGTGGTGTTCGGTGGCAGCACGGTGAATACAGACTTCGGGGCTGCATCTTCGAGACGGCGATCGGCCGGAGAGGTGCGATCGCAAAGCTGCCGACGGCAAGCAGAGGGATCTATGACATGGACGTCGACGCGGTCTCGAAAGGTGGCAAGGGCAAGGACACAAGCAAATGCCAGATCTGCGGGAAGCAGAACCACGCGGCCAAGGACTGCTATTGGCGAGATATGGGCAAATCCAAAGGCGACGGCAAGGCGCGAGGCGCTGGAGCTGGTGGCAAGATGAGTCACGACAAGGACAACGGGCAGAGGCAAGGACAGTTTCATTGGGAAGTGCGGCTGCTGCTACAAGGGGGCCACGACACAGCGGACTGCAGGAAGCGCGCGGCCGACGAGAAGGCGAATAATCGCGCGGAGATCGAGCAGGAGGGCAATGAGCCGAAGACAGTTGCCAATGTAGGGTTCGCCGACGACGACGAGGGCGGGATCTGCGACGACGACCAGCGTTACTGCGCGGCGACGCGGGCAGACGCCTGCGACGAGGAGCGCTGCGCGATGGACGTCGACAGCGCCGCCTTCATCGCGCTGGACACGGCTAGGGACTGCCGCGTGGGCCCGACCTCTTTCGGCGAACGGTGCGTTCGGGAGGCGAGCGACGGCCCGCAGCTGCTGGGCGCGCAGAAGCAGGAAATCAAGATGGACTCCGTCGCGACGGTGCCGATGGCGGTCGACAGCGACAACGAGCAGACGAATCTACCTGGGCGACGCGGTGTCGAAGCCGATGCGCTCGTTGCTCGAGGTGGTGGGCAAGGGCGCGGAGTTCCGGCCGGCGCGAAGTCGGGCATGCGCATGTCCCCGGGCGGCAACCTCAGCAAGGGCACCCCGCTCACCGGGCGCAACGACGCGCTTGGCTTCAACGCGAAGACCTTCCAGTCGACGGAGGCGCGGGAGTTCGCGGCGAGCGCAAACGCCAACGAGCAGCAGGCCGAGGGAGTTCGCGCCGTCGCCTGGCGCCCCAGGCAGCGGCGGAAACGCGGCGGCAGCGGCCCGACCTGGGCCGGCGCAGCTAGCTGCGACGGCAGCAGAAGGAGGACATCGAGCACGCGAGCAAGTGTCGCGAGCGCTAGTACTACAGCGTGACGGCCAGGAGATCGTCTTACATCCTGAGAGCCGCGTGGAGGACGTGCCAGCGAGATTGCGGGAGTTCGGGGCGCCGATCTACGGCGGGGAGAACGAGCTGTGGACCAGGCTCAGCGACGCGGAGCGAAGGGCCACGGCGCGCCACGACAAGCTGATGGTGTTGGAGCGCAGGCGCGAGCAGCCCGTCCAGCGGGCGTTTGCGATCTCACCCCGGCTAGTTGCTGGGCCAGCGGGGCCAACGCTTGAGGAGAGAGCAGCCCGCCAGTTGCTGCACTTGACGAAGGCCGAGTGGCGCGAGGCCCGCGCGCGCGGCAACGAGACCGCTGAGCCGCGCAAGACGCTCTCTCCTTCGATCAGACACGGGCAAGGCTTAGATCACTTTTGACTTCTGCTACCTGAAGACCAACGGCGACTTGGCGACGCGGGGCCACCAGCGGCGGGCATCTTCGCGACGACGCTCGTGATGGCGGACAGGGGCGCGCAGATGTTCAACGCGGTCTCGATGCAGACGAGAGCGGTCACCAATTGCGCAGTGGCGAGCGTGAGCTGCTTCGTCGAAGGCATGCGCCTGGCGGCCGCGGAAATCCAGACGGACGGCGAGCCGACGGTTTTGAAGGTGGTGGAAGAAGTGCGGAAGAAGCAGAGCAAGAGCGTCAAGTTGGAGGCAAAGTAGGGCAACCTCGAGGGCAGTCAGAGCACGGGCGCGATCGGGGCACCCATCAGATGGCCCCAGGCGAAGGTGGGACCTACAAATTCGACTTGGAGAAGCGCCGCGGCATCAAGATCACGGCGGACGCGCAGATGTGGCGCTGGATGCCAAGCTACGTGAGATGGGCGCCTTCCAACGTGCAGGCCGAGAGCCGATGGGGGGGCATCTCATCAGGCACTGCAGCGGCGAGACCCCGCCATTCGCGGAGACAGCGCTCTTCAATGCACCGACCTCCCACGCGAGACGACGGGGGCGCTTAGGCGCGAGGGCGAGTCGAGCTTCGCGAAGGGCATCTGGATCGGGGCGCGCAGGGAGAGCGATGATCACCTGTTCCTGACACCAGCAGGTTGGCACCGTGCCAGGACCTGCAGGAGGCCGGGGCCTGCGCTGCGGAACGGCGCGAAGTTGCCGAGGGTTGCGGCTGCTTTGCCCTGGGGCGCGGGGGGCGCCGCCGTGCGAGCTGTGGCCGCGAACGCGGCGGCCCCCGCCCGCGGTCGCCCTGGCGGCGGAGGAGCAGAAGGCGAAGGCATCGGCGCAGGCGGCAGCAGCATCAGGAGGATATCAACATCAGCGGGCGCCAGAGCAGGGCAACCAGCAGCGGGGGGCGGGGGCGCGCGACAACCTAGACCTAAACCGGCGCCAACAGCGGGGCCTGGATCAGGAGAGGCAGCGGCAGCAGGGCCACGGGCGGAAGCCGCGATGAAGGAGGGCGCGCCAGCTACCCGACCAGCTGATGACCCAGACTTTCAATCGAGCGAGGCGCGTGGAAGCGATCTCGCTGGGCGATCCGAGCGACTGCAGCATCCTTGACAGCGCGAGCAGTGCAGCCTACGTCGCGACGAGCGGCCTGGACCCAGTGGTGGAGCTCAGGGGCAAGCGCGAGGCGCCGGAGGTGCGGGCGCACCACGGCGCGCGCAGGGACATCCCGAGGGGCGAGAGCGGGAAGTCCAAGATGACCAGGGCGCGCTGGGGGCCACAGATGCGAGGAGGGGCTTGCAAGTGGCGTTGCGGAGCGCAGGAGTTCCGCCGCCGCCGTTGCCCGCCAGCCCCCCCCCCCCCGCCCCGGATAACAGCCGTTGCAGAAAAAATGCGGATAATGATAATAAGACGCCGTCTCTGGCGGACTGCGCGAAGGCTTACTACTAGGCAGACCAGGCGGAGATACCGCGCGTGGAGCCACCTGCCGAGTGCGGTGGGCGCCGGGGAAGATGCTACCAGGACGGCGCGCGGCATGCGCCGGTTGGGTGGAATAAGGCGGCGAAGACTTTGAGTGGCGAGGGGTTTGAGCGACGCGAGCGTCGGCCCCAGCTCTACTGCCACATGGGGAAGGAGGTCCTCACTGAGGTTCGCATGGGCGGCTTCCACGGCGCAGGACCTGCGAAGAACCTGGGTGGTGTCATCATGCGGCCGAAGGAGGTTCGGCCTGGAGGCGACGGATGTCATCGGGAAATGGCGCTAGGCTGAGACTCATGAACGGGGGCGTGATGCTGCTCCCGAGCATCATGCGCATCGAGGACCTGATCTACGCGATGGGCATGGAGAAGGCGAAGCCCCTCGAATGTGCCGAGCTCGCCGGAGGAGGGGCCGACCTGGAGTCCAGAGCTGGGCGAGATCGGGGCGGCAAACTACCGCAGCGGCGTGGGAATCTCGCTCAACATCTCTCCCGACAGAGCCGACATCCAGAGGGGCGCGCAGCTGCTGGCTAGGAGCCTGAGCCAGCCGACGGAGTTCGACAGGAAGCGCTTGGCGAAGCGATCGAGCTACCTGAGGGGGGCGAAGACATGCGCTGCGCTGCTCAAGAAGCCGGTGGTAAGCAAGCTTGGCGAGGTGAAGTTGCAGATGCACGCGGTCGCGGTCTTCGCGACGCGTGAGACAACGATGAGAGCGATGACATGTGGGATCGCGAAGCTGGACGGCGCGCAGTTCGCGGCTTTGGTAAGGCGCCAGGGATCCTAGGCCACATCTTCAGGAGAGGCGGAGTTCTACGGGCCACGTCAGTGGTGATGGACGGCGTGCTCATCAAGCGTGCTGGGGTGGCTGGGCTACAAGGTGACCTGGGCGCTGTCGAAAGAGAGCAGCGCCGCGGAGGCCATGATCGACCGCGAGGGCGTTGGCAAGGTGAAGCATCTTGACGTTCGAGCGCTTTGGATTCAGCAGGAGCGGAAGCATAATGGTCTGAACGCGAGGAAGGGGCAGCGGCGAGAAAAACATAGCATACCTGGGCAGCAAAGCGCATCCCGCGGTGAGGTCCGAGTACTTGCGAGACCTGGCCGACGTTGTGGGCTGCGCGGGGATGGACAAGCACCAGGCGCCGGAAGCGTGCTGCCAGCGAGCACGAGCTGGGCAAGGCAGGGCCTGCTGGCCACCCGGCTGGCACATGGAGCGATTGCGGGTTCGGCGAGCACCTGCGAGCTGGAAATCTACGAGAGGAAGCAGACCACAAGCTTGGTGGGATCGGCGATTCGCGACTGGTCCAGCAAGAATGCAGTGGCGATCGCGACGCTGTGCGCGCCAATGGTATTCGTGGCTGGCCTGGCGCGCGGATGGCGTTGCAAAGGTGCGTGGGCCAACGCGAAGAAGAGCAAACATATGAACGAGATGGCAAAGGTTAAAGACAAAGGTTACCAGTTGCAGACCGCCGACGAGATCAAGAGGGAGAAGGACGCAGGCCCGACGACAGCTGAGAAGATGTCGCAAGCGCCGCGCGTGCACAAGTGGATGAACGAAAACCTGAGGTTCGTGGCATTGCCAGCTGCGAGCCATGGCTGAACTTGAGGCGACTGGCGAGGATCTTCGCATCGCCGAGTTCGGCAAGTTCGCCTGCACCGAGGCGCCGCGGGGGCGTGCAGGGGTCAGTGAGTGCACGGCCCCCTGTGCAGGGCTTGTGATGTAGGGGCCCAGGAGGGCCCGCCGTGCGGGAGGGCCGAGGAGGCCCGAGACCGTTGGAGAGGGGGTTCCCCTCCGAAGGTCATCGGGGCTCGAGAAACATCGAGCCTGCATCATCATCTCTGCGCACCTCCTCTGGGCGTGCCGTCTGGGAGATGTCCGACTTGTCCAAGTCCGGTGTTGTCCGCATCTTGACCTCCAGCGTATAGGCGTTGAGAAGGCATGGTGGAGGTTCTTCACGTTTCCTGGGCTTTGGGGGCCGTCTGCGGGCTGTGGAGTCGTCGCAGGACGAGTTGGGCGGAACAGCCCTGGGAAGGGGCCGAGAGTTTTTTGGGCTGCGCATTGAAAGACCCAGGGCGCCAGATGTCTGATCGGACCTCTGATCTGGCCTCGGTTGGCCCCTGCTCAGACGAAAGGTTCATGAAGTTCAAGACGCTTCGTTGTGTATATATGGTGGTCCAATTGTCCACCAACACTACCGCAGGTAGGACGGGGGAGAAGTGAGGATGGGGAGGTCCGCCTCCTCCTCCTCTTCCTCCTCCTCCTCCTCTTCCTCCTCTTCCTCCTCCTCCTCCTCCTCCTCCTGCTCCTCCTCCTCATCATCATCCTTCTCCTGCCTATGGTAGTGGTGGTGGAAGAAGGGTCCGTCAGCATCGGCCTGGCAGGCAGTGGGCGGCTGCCTGCGCTCGGCCGCCAGAGGTCTTGAGACATGCGGTGATTTTCGAGTGTCATGTTTTCCCTTTCGCCCCTCTCCAACTAGAAGGTGCTGATCCGAGAATGTTCAATGGTTAAATATCGCGCCCAGCCGGCTTTTCACGCGGTTTTAACCGCTCTCGACCATGCCATCGCTTTTTTATATTGCGAATTGCAAAGCGTATGCGTATACAGGACTGTCCGATTGACTTACTTACTGGATATAGGTGAACTTTGTGGCAACACGATGAGTGGCGCCTTGGAACAACAAAAACGACATTTCGTCATTGCCTGGCGTTGCGTCGAAGTTCTCGGGCCTTTGCCTGCGGAGGGCGCCTGCCTGGCGTGGCTGTCCACGCTCGCAGGCCCATTCAGGTGCCTGGCGGCCACGTCCACGGCCCGGCTCTGCGACCCGGAGCGGCCGGTCGGGTTCAACGGCGGACGATGCTTATGTTGGCAGGGGGCCGATGCAGTCAACCCGCACAGTAAGGATGAGCAAGTTTCCAAGGTCACCCTGGCATCCTTCCCCTTCGGCCGATCCTTGGCCGCTCTCGCTGGCCGCGCCCCGCTCGCAACGTGCCAGCGTGGCAACTTTCCAAGGTTACCCTTGCATCCTTCCCCTTCGGCCGATCCTTGGCCGCTCTCGCTGGCCGCGCCCCGCTCGCAAAGTGCCAGCATGGCTTCCCGAGGCCCTTGCGTCCTTTACTATCTTGTCTTGTAATCGTGGGGTGGGGTGGGGGGGGAGAAAGGTGCACCCTCTTCGTTGGCTCTCGGGGCCCAAGTGGGGCCCCTGGGGCCCAAACGGTGGACGAACGCAGGTGCACGTTTGTTCGCCCTCCCCTCCTTTTTCCGAGCATTCTCTTTGGGTGGAGGGCAAAGGGTGAAATATGAAATGCCGTTTCGATTGATTTTCGAGGCTTGAATCTGCAAGAGGTGGGTCATACGACGGACCGATTTTCGAGGCGTAAAAGCCCCTAGGGATTTCACCCTGAGCCCTCCTCCCTAGGAGAATACCCGAGGGTGGTCCGAAAAGGTACCCAAACGGTACCTAAACGAGCCCCTGGGGCTCCAGAGGGGCCCGAAAGGGGCAGGGAAGGGGACCGTTTCTGACCCCCCCATCTATGACCTCCCAGTAAGCCACGCCCAATCGACTCGTTCTCTGACGGCACCGAGGCCCGGTAGGGGCCCCTGGAGGCCAAACACTATCCAACATTTCCCATCGTGAGTCCTTCATCGCCCGAGGGGGTCTGGGGTGCCAGCGCACCCTCGCGAGGGGAGGGGCTGCGCGCGGGCTGGACGGCCAGACGGTCTCGTTCACGCGCCGGGTGCGTTCCAGGCAGGCCAGGAGACATCGGGCGACCACCTCGCAAGGTTCTGGCAGGGCCCATACCCATACTGGGCCCAGGGTCGGTGCATGCGCCTCCTGGCTTCTGGGTCACCTCCAGGGGCGGCAAACAACCGTACTTCGCGCGTCGCGGCCCGGGCCAGAGCGATTACAAGCAGTGGCGAAGCGTCCTGGCTCGTCTGTAGGCCCACCAGAGAGTGATCTAAGAACTTCTTGCGGTCTGCGCGAGAAGTTCTCGGAACATTTCTGGCTGGGACTGTTTTGTTTTCCCGCATCGGACGTCTGTTCTGAGAGCATCGTGTTTGTCCTTAGCGCATTTTGGGGGTTCGGAGAGCATGCCGTGGCAGCGCCGGCGGGGCAGCGCGAGGGCGCGACGGTGCCCGCGACCCGCGCGCGGGCCGCGCGGGGCGCGGCGCGCGAAGCGGCGTGGCCCAGTTGGGGCCTGGCCTGGCGGCGGGGACCCCGAGCCCGGGACCAGGCTTCATGGGCGGTCTATCGGGGGCTCCCAAACGGGGTGGTGACCACACCGTGTGGTGAGTCGGTGGGGATTCGGGGTCACCGCACGGTTTTGGGACTTGGGTCGTTCTCCGAGGATGTCTCGGGCGACTGGAGCCTCCAGGGTCCCAAAACCGTGTGGTGACGGACCGTGCGGTGAGGTCTTTGCGGATTTCGAGGTCACCGCCGGGTCTGTCACCACACGGTTTTGGGACACCCAAGTCTAACCGGGTTTAAGCGACCCTTGGCAAGCCATCCCCTTCCGTGACGCCCCCCTCGGCTCGCCCCAAGATGTGCGCATGCGGCCAGAGGGGTTCTGGCCCGACCCGGGTCTCTGGGCTTGTGGAAGACGATCTATGGAGAGGAGGCATGCTGTCAAATAGTTTCCAGATGTCTAAAGCATGTTCAAAACAGGGTTAAGACATGCAAGAAGACATGCCTGAAACGTGCTTACTACAGTCTTAAAACATTGAACGCGCATGTCAAATCCAAAGATAGGGCTGTTAGAGTGTCCATTGTCATGGCATCGCAACTCCAGGCCTCCTGGATGGGGTCGGAGCAGATGGGGTCGGGGGAGCGCGCCGCATCGCCGGGTGCATCGGCGGTGCGGCTCGATGTGGGGCCTGATGTGCTTGACGTCGGCGTCGCCGATGCATCGCCGACGTCGGCGCGATCCTCCGACCCCATCTACTCGCACCCCCTCTAGGAGGCCTCTAGGGAAGGGAGGGACCACGCGAGCAGGAGGATCTGTCGACGAGGAGGGATCGCACACACTGCAAGGGTGGGTGGCACATGGGCCGATTCCAGACCCCCTTCAGCCAACACTGGTTCAAGGAAGAAAAGTCGGCATTACCATGACCTTTTAGAGGTCCGCGCGGATGTTTCTTGGATCCGCGCCTGGGACCCCCTGGCGGCGCCTCAGGCGCCGCCCCTGGCGCGCTCCGCGCGCCAGGGAGGGGGGCCCAGCGCAGATCCAAGAAACACCCGCGCGGACCTCTAAAAGGGTATGGTAGTGCCGTCTGTTCTTCCTCGAGCCAGTGTTGGCTCCTGGGGTTCTGGAATCGGGCCACGTGCCACCCACCCCTGCAGAGAGCGTGTGCGGTCCCTCTTCGTCGACGAATCTCCTCCCGCTCGCCCAGTCCCCGCTGCCCCTCCCTGCTGGCCCTGGCCGGTTGCTGCCCCGCCCGCTCCTCTCACCGCCCCCCTCGTGCCGCCTTGGATCAGGAGGGAAAAGAACACGCAGACACTATGACTCGTCCACTCCCAGGAAAGTATGGGAAAATATGGGGAGTGGGGGCGAAGACAAAAACCCAGAAAATATGGAAAATATGGAGTAACTATCCTGTTATTTGTGTGTGTGTGTGTATTTCTTTGTGTGTCCCAGGGCCCCTTCCCTGGAGGCCACGCCTCTCTGCCCCCCCGGGCGTCGCAGGGGGGGAGGCCCGAGGCCTGCGCGGCTGCTGCCGAGGAGGGGGGCGGTCTGGCACGGGCGGGGCGCCCTCCCGGACGAGCCGACGGAGGGAATCCCGAGCGATCGCGAGCGTGGATCAAGGGTCGGGAGCCTTGAGACGGGGGTCAATGCAAACGAGGGTCAGCCAGGGCACCAGATCCTGCAGGATCCTGCAGGATCCTGCGAAGACCCCTCTGGCTGACCCGGGTTAGCGAGACGCTCGTGGCCGCGGGGCGGCCGGGCATATTCGCTGACCCGGGTTTGCGAAGACCTTCGGTGCAGTTTTTGTTTGCATTGCAGTTGTTGGTTTCCTGCTGACCCGGGTCTGGATTGACCCGGGTCAGAAGATCCCCGAAAGGGAAAGTGGATTGGCGACGCGTCCCGTTTTCATGGGAGATCGCGGACTTCCGCCGCCGAGCGAGGCGGCGCCGGCCGCATTTTGGGGAGGCCGCCTCCCCCGATGCAGGGATTCGGCGACCGCGCGCCAAGTCCATGGATCGCTAATCCATGCTTGCGCGCCCCCGAGAGTCTGCATGTGCTCACTCGGCATTGGCATGCGAGTGTGGCAGTGCAGTCGCCAGTCGGTTTCGCTAGTGGACGTTTGCTTCGCTGGCAACATTCGCTTGTGTTTGGACGTCGGCTAGTTGCCCCGCTGGGATGCGCTCGGAGTGCGGTGCCGTGCGCACGTGGAAGGCCCCTGGCAGCTTTCACTACAGGCGGTTTTGGCTAAATAGTGTCCTGCCCACCCCAGAGGTGAGAGGAGGGGGCTGCTGTCGGGCTGGCAATTTTGCAGATTGCC